ATATACGAGCTACATATTTATGATAATATTCCGAGATAATATGTTATTTGTTGTCCACATTAATCACCGACTATCAAAATTCACCAGCCATGACATAAAAATAATTGTGAGCCATTAACATGCTAAAGCCGCTTTAGTGCCCCATAAAGGTTTTAGGACTTACTATTTTATCACTTTTATCACTCACTCGCCTTCTGATAAACACTCACAAAATTATGAATAACATATAGATTAGTCATTCCAACAAAACAAAATATTGATGTTAAATATTTTGTCATGTTATGTTGCTTCAACATTGACTTAACATGCGGCATAAATTGTTGTGAATTTTCATTCGATTTGATTGCAGCCAGGTGTCAGTGGCTCAGGTTAATAATTCAACTTGACTGCAATCGGTAGATGCGTTGAACAAATTAAGCAACTGCAATTACAAGATACAGAGATCATTACGAAAGAATCTCAGCCGTAACAACAGCTGCTAATTATCCCGCAATGAGCAGTGAGTCAGAGGACAAGCCATTCATTGTTGGAGCTGCTGGAGCGTGCTTGGCAACAACAAATTTCGAGGAGATGATTAGAGCGCGTTGGAAATTTAAGTACATGGATAATTGCCATGGGTGAGTCGCACTTACCGCAATGCGCCAGATCGATGATAGGCACTGCAGACCTCGAGAGCAGCGTATCCAGCTTATCGTCGCTTGTTTTTGTTTTCAGCATTTTGCCTTTGTGTGTGTGTTTGTTTATTTATTTTATTAAGATGTCAAAATCTTGCAGTTCTTTGGTTTGGGGAATTCCCACTGAACAGCTCTCGGCGCAGTTTGTGGTCCACTTGTTCACTAATTTTGCTCGATTTCGTCAGTTCAACTATTTTGTTGTCTTGATCTCGATTTGATTAATATGGTCTATGTCTTTGACTACCGAGCAACTGTAGTTTTACTATAAGAATTATAATTGTTATTACTACTATTATTTTTTATTACTTATTATTGTTGTTGTTGTTTTTTTTTATACGCTTCGCGTGGCTGTTGGCCAACGTCACGTCAAGTGTTGGCAATATTTATGATATATATAAATGTATATACACATATAAATATATGTTGAAGAGGCCGATATCAAAACAAAAATAAATCCGAGCCAATCGTAACGTATGGCTATCAAATCCAATTGGAAATGAGCGAAGGGTGTGGCGGGGCAGTCACGGGAACGGGAATGGGAATGGGAACGCGTATCGTACGCCTCGTGAAAAATCGCGCGTGTTTGCTTTGAACGACGCCAAAACGAATATCAACGTTGCGCTCACGACGCGTTTCTCTGCTCAACTGATCAGGTATAAAACCGAGTTGGCGTTTTCTTGAACATTCCCCCAAGTTGCTCGCTCGCTCTGCCTCTGTCGCTGTCTCTGGCTGTGCTTATCGCACCTTTTGCTTTGCTGCTGAGAGAGAGAACCTTTTTGATGAGAAGTGTGTGTGTGTGTGTGTGTGCATGTGCGCCGTAAGTAGATAAAATTTAATCAAATCAGAATTGTGATAAGTAAATTAGCACTTGCCATTTGTGCAATGCTGACACCGGACGGCGGCAAACAGACGGCAGACAGTGCGGCGGGCGAGGTGTGCATTGGCTAAGCACGACATTTGCACTGAGATTCGCATTGCCGAAACCACGAGCAGCAGCGAGTGGGCTCAGTGTCTCATGTCTCATCAACAGGTAGCTGACAACTAGCTTGCGAATCGCGCTACTCAGGTACGCGCACACACACACATTTCAATGCTCATACACACACACACACACAATGGGCGTCTGTGTGTGCGTATGAGCTTCTTTATATATTTCTCTTTGTGATATTTATTCGTAATTTCAATACAGATACTATTGTCAAGGTGTGTGTGTGTGAGTGTGTGTGTGTGGCTCGCTAACACTGGTGCAAATGTATCTGACAGATCTCGTTTAACGGCACTCGCACACTTGGACTCAGGTGCTGCTGTTGCTGCCGCTGCTGCTGCTTCTGCTTCTGCTTCTGCCCCTTGGCGGCGACCAGCTGAGCTCAAAACACCAAGCGTCGTGCCTTTTGCTTTTGATTTTGTTTGTGCTTTTGCTTTTGCTTATGTTTTTGTTTTCGTTTGTATAGCGTCCATATGTGTAGCTCAGCTTGATCTGGCTGTTGCCAGGCGGCATCACAGGAAACGCCAGATGAGCAGATGAGACGGCTATGCAAACTCTGCAACGGTTGCATCTGGAGGGTTGCCAGCAGAGACAGAGGGAAAACTCCTCCGATGTGTATGTATGTGAGTGTGTGTGGATGTGTGTGTCTCACTCACTATATGTATGTGTGCATTTGTGCATGAGTAAGCGTTTCTTTATCATTCGCGTTATATGAATACACAAAATTTATACAAGTATATATTTAAGTAAATCTATTTATAAACAAAACTTAGGCACTTATTCATTTACGAACGGGCTGATTTGTTTTGGAGTTGGTATTTTTCCTTTTCTTTTCAACAAAAGCGCTTTCTTTTTCGCACAGATTTCATTTAACTGGTTCCAACGTCACCAAAACAATACAAAGCAATTCGTTAGCAATGTTTTTGTTTTGGTTTTATTTCAGGTGTGAGCATGTGTGTGTCTGTGTGCCTCTGTGGGTGTGTGTTTCTTTTTTAATTTGTTTTACTTTTCACACACTTTCCAACATTTTGTAACACACACGCGAACGCGAACGCGAATTTAACCTAAATACAGTACAATAAAATGCGCACGCCAACAGTTGAGCCAAACGAAAACCTATATACTACCTGGCAACAGCAGCCAGACCAGCAGCAGCAACAACATCAACAACAACAACAACAAAAGCAATAGTTATAGCAACAACAACAACAACAACAACGTTGTGTCACTTACAACAAACAAAACGCAAACGACAACGCGCCAACGAGCGGAAGGGACGCGTCTGTACTTCACCACATTTTCGCCAACACTGCGAGGCGAGTTTTAGTTTGAAATACAATTTGCCTGCAACTTCAACATACATACATATAGATACGTACAATTGTAGATACATACATATACTTACCACATACTTTAGCACACACATATACATATGTATTCAGATAAATCATTTTGCTGGCATACTTTTAGTCTGTCCATGAAATAGATTCGCTATGAAATATGTACATGTAAATCCAAATATAATTAATCTATTAATCAATTAATTTCAATTATAGTATTGCCTGTTTATCACATACTTCATGATAACCAATGATTTATATTATCTAGGAACTATATTCTTATTCTTGCTTATCATTTATAAACTTCTAATTATAATTTAGATGATTAGTAAATTAAGAATAT